CCAGGAAATCCCTCTGCAAATAATCATAGAACATCCTTTCCAAAATAGACCATAGGTTCCTTGAAGGGAGGGAAGGGGGGCGGCGGAGGTGGCGGGCGAGGCGCTGTATAGAGCCAGCCCTTTCAGTTAGTCAAGCAGACAAAAGGAGGTGAAGTGTTTTAAGATGGAGTCCCTGTTCGGCTCCACTTTGGAAATTAAAAAAAAATGCAAAAGAAAGTTGCTGGCAAGTGAGAGTCCTTTTGGACCCCAGACGTGCGTGCGCGCACACACTCTCTCTCTCTTTTTCGTAAGGACGAGTGGAAAATACGGAGGGAGGCCCTGCGTGGAGGGCCGGGCTTGGCCTGGAGCAGGCCGAAACGCAGAAAGTGGGAGGCTCAGAACCAGGGTAGCAAACACTCCCAGGGTAGGAAACACTCCCTGCTGCGGCTGGCTCTCCAAAGCTAGGCCCCTGGTGGCTCCTGGCCGGGCCTCCCTCCGAGGGGGAGGCGGTGGACCCCCATGCCATAGTCTCCTTCTCTTTGCCCCCCCCCCCCCCCAAAGGCGTGTTGAGTCTTGTTCCCGAAGAGGGAGGGAAGTTTGGGGGGATCTGTGTTCACGTTGCACACCCTCCCTCCATCCCTGGGGCATAGCAGAGGATACGGCTCAGGGGCATGTGGGTGGTATAGACTTGTCACCGTCTCGGTGGCAGAGACTGCCAGTGTCTCTCCCCGCCCCTTGGCACGGGGCTGCCGGCGCTTCGTGCCAGGCCTGGGGGCAGCGCCAGCCAACAGACGGTGGTTTTTTTTACTGCCTCCCTCCCTAAGGTTGGCAAACTGGGTGGCTGAGTTGGTGGAGACATGGCGGTGAGACTAGGGGGTGGGCGGGAAGGAGGGGGCGGGGGACTGTCTGTGCCTCTTCCACTTTGGGGGGGGGCTGGGGTTAGCGGGGGGCACGCGAGATGCCCGCCGAGCGGCTCTCTGGGTGGCATGCTCTGGGACTGAGACAGCGTGGGTAGGGACTACACTGTAGAACTTCTGGGTTCCTAGATTTTTTGGCGTGTAAGTGGATATCGGTGGTTAGAAGGAAAGCTGCGCTCTGTGTTGTTCCAAGAAGCGACTTCCCTAAAACCCTTTTTTTTTCTCCCCCTAGGAGGATAAATCTTGGCAACTGGATCAGAGAGAGGGAGGCCGGGGTGTTGGGGGTTGCATGTGTGGGGCCCAAGAAGATCCCATGCATCATTTCCCCCCTCTCTTCATCCCCCACCATGGGATGGGGACAGGAATGCAGCTGGTGCGTTCCTGGAAGGGTGTTAGCTGGTTAGAATCCAAACAGCAAGACGGGCCCTGGGAGATGGGGGGGGGTCGGGGTTGGAAGTGTTTGCCCTCTTCCAGGCCGTGTTCCCTCTGCGTCTCCGTAGCGAGTGCTGTACACTATATTAACGAGGTAGATCAGGCTATTTACTTCATAAGCTGTCTTTCCCACCAAAGAATCAAGGTGGTTTGTATTCCGTACCGTGCGACATCTAATAAGCAATGTAATAGGATTAGGATTACAGAAACTGGATAAAGAGAGCATAAAATATTGGACGCGATACGTTACACAGTGGAGGAAACTGGGTCTTTGACTTGTTTACTTTTTTTCTTCTTCTATCCCTCCCCCGTTAAAAATAGGTAATGCTTCCATCTTACGAGACCAACGTTTCTGATAGGGCTGCCCCATGCGTAAGAAGTACAGAGTTGACCAACAACCCCAATGTCCTCTTTTCTCACTTCTGCGGCACGCGTGAGGTCTGAATATGCCAAGGTGAGGTTAGTTTGGGGATGATGGGCAGCAGATTTCCTTGGCAGGTCAAGAATTTGTGATCTGGGCAGCAACCTTGCCTCTTTAAGCGTCGTATCTCTAGTAATACCCTGGAAGGCAACCTGTGCGGTCTTGGATTAAGCGCACCTGCCTTCGCGCACGTCGTGTCGATCCTTAACCATACACGAAAACTATACTTGTTGACAGCTGCGTGGCCGTTGCGTGTTCTCGGGCGTGCCACAGGTGAGACGTGGTACGTGGACACGTGGTCAGCGTTACACGGCAAAGCAGTGCCTAGAACAACACATCCTTTGAATCAAGTCATACAAAAGTCCTGTTACGAAGTCCTGGTGCGGGAGGGGGGAGTGTTTAGACGTAGGGCGGATTGCCCTCATTGTCACGGTCATGTGAATCTTGGAATAATTGCCAGGGTGGGGGCTCCTTCTGTCCCTGGTACACCCTAAGAGGACTCCGTTTGGGGAAAGAAAGGTTGTGGGGGGGGCGGGGGAGGGTTGCGCGAGAACAGAAACACGCCAGCGTATCTGGTAGCACCAGCCGAAGAACAGTAGTCCATTCAGCCTGCAGTGTTTGGATCTCGGCAGGCGGCTAATGTCAGAGCTCCCCCCCCCTTTCACCCACCGCCTAGCTAATTAGCGAGAACAGGCCCGTATGTGTGCGAGTGGGGCTGACTCAGACGCTGTAGCCGGGGGAGGAGTTT